TGCATCACTAACTGAAGTGTTCTGTTCATGGCATGACTGAAATTATCATAACGTTGTTAAAATAGAGTTTGTAATTTCACCCTGCCGTTACCAGGCCAAAGGACCAAGGGATTTATACACTGCCCTTTAAAGATAGTGCAATGGCACACTTCTCTTTGACCAACTCTCAACCAGGCTACTGAGGTTTTAAGAAGACTGAAGGAGTGAAGAGCTAATATACTTCTTAAAGAGAAGACAACACTGAAATTTTTGTTTCTTCCAACATGATTTCATGCGTGACACCTAATTAGAAACACTGGAAACTTTCAAGGAATTATCTTAAATTACCATTAAATGTTCATTGCGCTTAATTGCTTGCAGGAAACATATTTATATTATAGCATACAATATGACATAATATAACATATCACATATTTCTATGTGAAATATAAGTTTTATCAGAGGAGAAAAGAGGGTACAGGTGTCATCCATAAGTTTCTTCTATAAAAGCAGAAAGAACTGGAGTGCAATTATACAGATTCCCCATTTCAGGATGCTCTCTGACATAAGGATCTGGATTTCCTCTTCAGTCAGGTTTCCTCAAAAGATTAATACTCTGAATAGCATAGGAATGTCATGACCTATTTGTCCATTTTTAATGCTTTATCACATGCTTTCTCCTCTCTCATCTTCCCAGAGTTTTTCTTTTTCTTTCCTGCATTTTTGTTGTACCTCAAGATTTTCTTTTTCCCCTGCTTTTTGGTCACCTATTTCCAGTTCCGTCCTTCCAGATCCTCAGGAGTCTCCCACCAAGGCCCTGCCTCTCTCTCTAACAGCCCCTCTCCCACTAAGTGTGAGAATATCATTTTCTGTTTGCTCCTCTATGTGCCCCTCTTTTCTCCTGCAAATAGTGTCCCAGGGTTATTTTGACCTTGTGCTTTGAAGCTGAAGAACCCCAAACAATGGCAGATCCACCTGGTGCATGATCTTTGCTTGGGAGGCACACAGGTCATATGCTTGCCCAGCCCATCTCTTGCTCTGAATGCAGCTGAGCCAGAAAATTGAGGTTCAAAAAGTGTGTAAAGATTAAAATTAAAAAAAAAAAAAAGGTACTCTTTGGCAGAGTATTTGCCAGAGACATAAGTTACTTCTCTAGGTGAGCAAAAGTATAATTAAGAACCATAATAAGTAATAAGTAAAATGTTTAATGGGATCTTACAAGAGTCGTTACAGGACTACCACTTTTTTTCCAAATCATTTTGGGTTATAAAGCATCTGTGCTAGATCCGTTTGATGTCCAAGGTCCCTCCTTTGCTTTGCTCTCTTGAGGGCTTTGCTCGCTCTGCTAGCACAGCTCCTGCTCTTGTCTTCAGCCTTTATTCAGTACCTCCTAGGACTGCTGTCCCACTTTTTATAGGAACATTTTGAATGGGTAGACATTGTTTGCAGGCACTAATTAAAGCTGTGCATATGTTAATGAGCCATTCAGCAATGGTGAGGAAGATGGCTGCATGTCAGCATTTTCTGCATTTCACTTTTTTTTTTTTTTTTTTTTTTAAATATGGCCTTTGTCAAACTCCCCACCAGGCTGATTTCTAGTCCAGCCAGTATCACAGCTTTTCTTTCTCACTGGTTGCCACTGTGGTGTCCCTTATGTTGCAATAACAGGCTGTTCTGCCATCCGTTATTCCTTATGTTAGATACAGCTTCCTTCCTTTGCTCCAATACAATGAGAACTAGTGAGTAAAATAATCCATGTCAGCTCTTTTGTTTGGGTACAGTTGCTGCTAGGTGCCTAAAAACAATGCATCATCTTGTGACCTTTGCCCAGACTGGGCTGCTGATGGCAGTGAACCTGTATTGCTGCTAAAGCAACTGATGTGACCAGATGGCAGTCTGTATTTTCAAACCTATTCACACCATTGAAATTATTTTTAAAAGTAAGACTGGGGAAAACGAAGGACACAATAATACCACTTCCCTTCTTTGAAAATATAATTTGTCATGTGTAAAATTAAGAGTGTATTTTCAGAAGCTGTTTTTGAAAATTCTGTGGTTTACAACGTTTTTGCAGTACAGAATGACATACAGACAATTACATTTCTATAATTCTTGTCCCTTCTTTCTCTTTCTCTCCCTCTCTTCTCCTCTCTTGACTTTCAGATGATAGACATGATGTATTTTGTCATCATCATGTTGGTGGTTCTGATGAGCTTTGGTGTTGCGAGACAGGCTATTCTCTTCCCCAATGAGGAGCCTTCGTGGAAGCTGGCAAAAAACATTTTTTACATGCCTTATTGGATGATCTATGGCGAAGTGTTTGCAGACCAGATAGACCGTAAGCAAGTTTATGATTCTCATACTCCAAAGTCAGGTATCCAATTTTGAATAGATTATGTCTTAGTAGATCATGTATGTGTTCTCAATAAATGGCTCAGGATAGAGGACTCCTCTGTCACAGAGAATGGTCACAAAAAATATTTCTATTACTAATGTCGGGCTACCAGTTTTAGTGTATCTGTCATTACTTTCCAGTTATTTAATCAGAAATGTGTAATGCTAAATTTACCTTGCATACAAATAACATTTTAAATGGTTCTTTCTACTTGTTATGTGGTGGAGATATCCCCCCAGGAATCTGTGATGAGTCCTTTGGTATATCTGGGACACAAAAAAAAGTCATTTCTTTTCTTTCATCCATTAGTTTGATTTTAGACCTAAACATTTTTGACCTGACTTCATACTGAGTACTGAGTCTAATAATATAATGTTAGACCTTCAGCTGCTCCACTCCATGAAGACATAATCCACTTTATTTTCATTACTCCATAACTTGCTCACTGCCACCACCCTTATCCTAAACCATATGATGCAATTCTTTGGGGACAGTAGATTCATTATTAGAATTTTTCTTTGTTTATTTATTGGAACAAAAGAGTATGTTCACGTCAGTGCAAATAGAATGAAAGCCAGGATTTTGTATACTATCTCCTCAGGATTCATTTGGCTGGTGATCAGGAAAATGCATTTTTTTCCATTTAAATTAAACCTTCTGGTGCCACCTGGTGTACTATGCCAAAGAAGATAGGTGGTCATGAAAAATTATGTGGTGTAATGAATGGAACAAAGTAAGATCACAAATAGCCTGTCTTTAACAAACTTTAACATATAAATGATGTACAGAAATTCTGCTTAAATGTACACTGGTCTTGGCAGCATTTACAAGTGAGTATCTCTTCCAGTGGTAGTAGAATCTATTTAACCTAAACTTAAGGTATTCCTTTTTATCCTATGTACTGCCCAAGAAGAGGACAATGTTTTCATGATTTATCTTCTGCTTTGTCAGCACTGAAAAAATGGAACGGGTAAAAATGCAAAAAGAAAAAAAAAATAGGTTGGTTAGGACTGATTAGTTCAGGAATAATGCATGCAACTGTATCACCAAGAATCCACAAACATTCACACATTTAAGGGGTTTCAGCGGAACAGACATTTATAATATCATATGACAGATATTTCTGCGGTGCCATTGCTATTTTGTCTTCTTCATGGGTGAACAGAGAACTTGTACTGTGAATATGCAAATAAAATCTCCTTTTCATGATTATCCTTCCATTTTTTTCTCAGAGGCAGCATGGCATGCAAGGAAGTAAGCAATTACCTAAAAGCATAAAGCTTCTCCTTGAGTTTAGCTTTTTACCTGATCACATCTTTTTTTTTTTTTTTTAGAACTTTAAAAAATGCATTTTTAATTTTTAAAAATGCATTTCATCCCAAAGTCATAAGATTTGGGTGGCGGGGGGGAATAAAAATTCAACTTGTTCCAAAGGCGTGATAGAGGTTAAAGATTTATCCTCCATTCCCTAAGCAGAATTCTCTCTGTCCCTCTACAAGTGGCCATTTATTGATGTTGTACTAAGTAACTACCATAGTGCAACAAACGTGGCAATTGGCTAAATAAGAAATTCTCAGCATATTTATGTTGATGAAGTGCTGATTGTAGTTTAGAACCCTGAAATCTCAGAAACAGAAGTGTTTTTAAGCATAACTTTTTAAAGCTTTTTAAGCATAACAAGAGGGTGGCAGGCTCCATACCTTGCCTAATGTTTAGCAGCAATCTTCTGTGTTATTCAGGTGCCCAGCATTTAAACCTTGCAGAAAGATGCAGGGTTGTTGTTACAGTGAGCCTTAGGGAAAGCAAAATTCCTGACAGCTTCAACTCCAGCTGTAAGTATGGACATGTCATTCTTCTGTCTGAGCCGAGGAAACCAGGAGTTGCTGCAAAAGTGGCAATGCCAAAATGAAAGCAACACCTAGTTCCTCCTTCCTGAGAGACAGATGATGCAGGGAATCAGAATCTGCCACTCTTTCAGCACCAATTACATGCAATATGTGATGTCTGCCAGAGTCTCAGTTGTCTCAAAAATGTTACCTCCCGAATAGACTGGAAGCACGAGCAAATGGTTGGTGACGTTGCTATACAATCAAAGTGACCTGATTGGCACCTAAAAGGTTTTACTAGGATACTTGCTTTTTTTCCACTATTTGGATGTTTTCTAAGTTGTTCTAAGCTAAATCAGCCACTGTATTTTTCGTAGAGTGCTCCAGAGTGTTTGTGCTTTCTCAAATATGATAAACATACTAAAATTGTTATGCCAAGTCAATACTGCAATTCATAGCTTGGAGAGCGGTTTTATTTCTTTGTTTGCTTGTCTAGCAAGCAAAAGGATTTCTTTGTGGTTTTCCTTAGAGTACTGATGTTTCTCTATTGTAATAATAATACCTACATTATTTGCAAGTTTGGGATTCAGCAAAAGTGCTGATCTTAGAAATGCATATACCTTTGAGCCTGGAGATTCTTCTAATGTGTTTGAGAAATGTACAAATAGTGTTTGTGACCCTAAAATTTCTTTTTTTTTCTTTTCTTTCCGTTGGTTTGTGAAGCATGCCATTAAGGCTGACCAGATACAATGTCTGGATCCATATCATCAACTGGCAGCCTGCCCATCCAGTGGGTCTGCTCTGACTTTTATCTCAACACACTACACTATTAAAGCACTAATAAATGTCTTGATTCAAACTAATTCATGTCTTATACACTTATACATTCTACCCATTGTGCCTATGTTCATTCCATATTAAAAATACATTCTTTAACTGGAGTGTGCATTAATGTACTGTGGCATGTGAGCTCACCTGCAACTCAAAAGTGGGGACAGAGTTATGTCCTCACTTCTGGGAGTCTGAATACATTATCAGGGATGTGGTTTATTATCAGTACAGTACATAAATACTATATTTCTACAAATTCCTGGCTATCAATCAATTGTAAAGGAAAAAAAAAATGCAAAGCAAATCTTCTAGAACTCTCATGAATTTTTCATTCAAATTCCACCATAAAAGCAAAAGCAGTTCCAAAACTGAAACTGAAAGGTAGCTCCTCTCAGGCTGACAGTTCATCAGAGCTTTGTTATCTGGAGGAGGAAGAGGGGATCCGGATGTGAAATTGTCTCACTACTGGGATGCCTTTTCTAATCCAGGTCAGCCTCACGCTGACTGATGGGATCTGCAGGGCAGTAGCCAGCCCGTTAAGTTGCTCCTGTGAATTTCCTACTGCAAAGGCACTCACAGCCATAAAATCTCTCTCTCAATTTGCCTCACTTATTTTGGCAATATTTGACAATATTACTGAAAGAAATAGAGGAAAAAAGATTTTTTTCCCCACATTACCAACGTACATACCTCTCCAGAAGAGTATTGGGAGAAGGGATATATGAGAAATACTGAAGAGAGGAGGGTTATTCGAGGGAACGAGTTTGCAGGGCAAAAAACATAGACAAATGACATCTTGAAAAATGGCAGTTGGCTGTAGGAAATCAGCATTAGACTTCACATGTTCCTCTATTTAGAATGTGAAGTGCTGTTAGCCAAAAGTAGTTTGTGGGTTTTTTTTGTTTTTGTTTTTGTTTTGTTTTGTTTTAGGTTATTTTTCAGATTTTTCTGGTGTGTCACATGTCAGATCTGCATTTGGATTTTCTTTCCAGTTGACAGTATTTCATATGCCATCTGGAATCTGAGCATCAAAGTTGTGTTTGTTCCTTATGCCTGTTCCCTTATGGGAAAGTCCTATGGAATCTAAGACAAATGGATGGGGGATCCTTCTTTTATGTCACTCTGGAGCAATGTCCAGTAACAAGAATGCATTTGTTCCAGTATAAGAGTAAAAATAAATTAGTATTCACTGATTTTAACTATCCATTGAGTGCAATAGAAAAGTATAATTAATATAAATGGTGTATTTATTTAAGTTTTTTAAGCTTGATTTTGCTTAACAATTTGTTAAGTTTTAACAAGTTTTTAAGACTCCCTAGACTAAGGGAAAACTTTACATTAAATTCTATACTTTCCTGATAATTCGTTCCTTTATGTATCTATAGGACTTTTCTATAAGGGATGTCATCTGCATGGATCATTCTGGAATTAGAGCTAACAGAGCAGCTCTGCACAAAACAGAGTAAATCATACCCATGCTCTTCTATGCTTTTTTGTATTTCTGCTCTGCAATGTAGAAAAAATTTTTAGCACTGTTAGACAACAGCAAGGGACAATATTTGTGCACAGCTTATACGTCATTTTGAGAATCTCTTTGGTCTGCACCAAAGAAAGAGTCTTTACCTCCTTAGTGTCCTTCTCATCTTATATTTTGGGTTGCACTTGACATTTTAATGAGTGGTGGAGGAGGCAGTAAGTATTAGGGAGGCTAAGAAGAATACAGAGATTTCTATGAAATGTGATTACAATCCCAGTGGGTAGGAATGGTGTTTGAAGGATGTTTTTAATGTGGCTAGGAGCAAGAAGCAATGCATAAGGTCATAGTACCAGGGTTAAAGTAGCTTACTTCAAGCAGTGAGATTCTGTCCAATTTTCCAGGTGTTTCTCTGGTGAGAAGAGAAATGGTGTGAGACTTGAAGGTTCCCAGACTTTGGTACTTTCTCTGCCAGTAAAGAAGTGAATAGCCTTACGCAGCTCATTTAGCCCATTTCAATATCTACCAGCCTGGCAAGCTGTTAACACAAGGTTGCTTAGACATTTCATTAAATAATTTTCAAATACTTTTGTATCTTTTGGGTTTAGTGCTGATCAAAACTGGGAGATGCCCCTCTATGCATAAGCAGGATGGCAAAGGCACATTTCAGATGCCCAGGTTAGAATAAAACAGACGAGGTTGTTTGTTTCTTGAAGGTCACATATTCGTTTCCTTAGTTTTTTGAACAGTGATCATATGAACATGTTCAGCAGTTTCTTATGTTACCAAACAACTAAACCCATGCTATAAAAGTTATATCTATTTTTAAGTGAGAAGTTTTCCTCAAAGATAAAAAGCTATTAGGTAGCAAAGCTGTTAAATTGTGCTTTTTCCCCATTCTGTTGCTTCCCACAAGTCCTTTGGAAGGTGCAGCTGGGGGAAGAGCCATGCCACAATAATTTGCAAGTGTTGTTTCCCGAGCCCTTCACCCAATGCCCGTTAAAAAAGAGCAGTGCCCATGTCATGACGGTGATTGCACCAGGGGAATATACTCTGCCTGTGAACACAGCCCGAGGACCGAGCCCTGGCAATGCTTCAGGCCCAGCACAGAGAGGCAAGTTGCTGCTGTTTGGTCCCGGATGATTAGCTGGCCAGGAAAGAGGAAGGGTTAGGTATGCCGCAGGAAAGGCCCGGGCAGGAAATGGCAAAGGCGAGCCAGAAAGGGAAAACAAGCATGGGAGGGGATTATGAAAAAGGAAACAAAAGATGCAAAAAAACATGTACATCCACAGATGTCATGGTGCAATGTCTGAAAGCTGAGTGAACGCTGATAATTGAAATTAAAACTCCGGGCAACTATTGTCTTCCAAAGCACTTCTGAGGTTAGGACTCGATGTCCTGCCTTCACCTGTAGGTATCAGACTATCTGGATTTGTTTGATTGCATGAAATACACATGTAGTCAAACTAACAGAATCTGCTTCACCAAAACTCTTTATTAGCATTAAAAGTAGTTTACATAGCTTTGTTAAAACAAAGTCGTAAAATGAAAATATATAAGCAGGAATTTTCAAACATGCAAAAAAAATGCTTTGAAAAAGTTTGTCATAATGAAATTAAAATACTTACTACAAAAATTATTGCATTTCTCCAAGTATAAGAACTCTAGTTTCTCAAACTTCAGCGAGTATTTTTGGTATCAGCTGTCAGATTTTCTGTCCTTTTTAATATAGGGAAGCATTTATATTTTTGGCTTTGTTGTAATTAATTTTGAGCAAATAGTTTATTTAATTATGGGAAAAAATCCTTAAAAATTATTTTATCAACTAAAACTTGACTAAAATTGTTAGTTATTTTGGTGTGATGCTCAGTGTAAAATAAGGTGCTGCATTTTGGTCACACATCACACTTTTTCTCATGCAGCAGCAGATCTGAAGCGTGAGTTATGTTTGTTCCTGTAAAGGAGGCACAAAATTAATATTCCTTTGTCATTTAAAAGCTGTTCCCCTAACAAAACTGACAAAAGCTAAAAGCTTTGGTAAATACACAGGAAAAGATGCTACCTGTTTATGAACAGAGCAGAACACTTCATGGGAAGCAGAATTTGGCTGTCATTCTGGGGCACACACTGAGAAGGAAACATTAATAATAGTCTAAATCTGGTGTGGTAGACAGAAAAAAGTTGCAGAAATTCTCTTGGTCAAGGTATTTTTCAAAGCTAGAGGGCTTTTTAGAGGTCTTTTAAATAGAAGGAAAAAAAGGGTGCTGGTGGTAACAGGATTACAGCTGGACTTTGGATTAAACTGCTGAATTCCTCAATCTACAGTTTAAAGTATGTTATTTTAGAAATTTCCTTCATTGTTACAAAGACACTATTTGTTGTGCGCTTCAGCGTATTAAAAGGCAACAGGTCTCATCATCTCATGGAGAGCTTTTTCCATTACTGGTGAAAACATGACAGTTTGAGGTACAATATTCTGTTGGGCTTTAGCTCTGGATCAGCATGTGACTTAGTGTTTCCATACAAACAGAAATATAAAGTCTCATTTGGGGGCTTTGATGCCAAGAGGTGGCCAATGTCCTCGTTTCTGCTGGCTGAGTGCACTTAGCACAAGAAATCCAGCAGCTCACAAAAGGCATTTGGGGCCACAAATGACCTAGGTGAAACTAGGAAGTATGAAATCACTTCTGAAAGAATCCACAAGAGCAATCTTTCCCGATAAATAAATAATAATTTGCGCTGAGCATTTTCCGGTGATAAAATATATTTTTATAAGTAGGAAAGACTAATATCAATGTAGGTTTCTGGTCCAGACTCAGCAGAGTGGCTGCTAAAAGTAGCAGTGGGTTTTTTTTTGGCTTTGACACTTCTTTTTTCTGTGAGTTCAACACTGTGGGAGAGTTCATGTCTATGGTTGATGTAGCACATACTCTTCTATAACATGAAGCTGTGTGATGTCAACATGCTGTAGCCTAGTATCTTGATGTAATGCTCAAAAACAAATACCCAAGTGACACTTAATATCACACGATTCAAAACACAGTCACCTGCAGTTGGATCGTAAACTCTATGAACTAAGGTCAGAATTAACATTTTGAAAAGAAATAACACTTGCTACTGTAGCTCATGGATCTGTTGACACAGAATGGGATTTTACAGAGCATGTCGCATTGGCAAACTATGCTCTCCTTGAAGTCAGTGGGAAATGCTCATTAATATCAGCTGGACTGTAGATTTGAGCCAGAGCATGTGGAAAATCCTCATTAGAATCTTCTTTTTCTTTGGGATGAGAACAAGGGGAAACTAGCTTTAGTGATGAGCAAAATTTACTGTGATGGAGAATGTCTAAGCTGCTTCTTCATTGACTTCCTTGAAGAGCTGGTTTAGGCAATTAGCACCAATCTTGTTAGGATCGCTTGAGGCTTGAAGGGCATAAACTCAACCCATCCTTGCAAATGCAGATATTCTGACAAAGCACATGAAGGCAGGTAAAAGCAGGAAGTAACGAAAACTACTTTGGAATGTTCTTTTCCTTGCTTGACTCAGATCTCCAGCATTAATACAAGGACTGTTTCTGTTCTAAAACATTCAGGTTAAGAAATGGGTGGCAACTCTGTTGCCTACCTGTCCCTTTACTTGGTACAGCAAAGACTTGATAATCTCCTCCACTGTTTCCAGGCATGTAGTCAGAAATCCTTAATAAGCAGAGAGTCATTATGAATATTCTTCAGAGGGGCTCCAGTGCACAGGAATAAATTCCTATTCCTTATTTTAGTTTCATGCACTTACTTTACTTTTATGCTATTTATCATATCCTTCTGTATCAATCAGAAAAAGACCTTACTTCTGACAGTAAAAAAAAAATAAATAAAATGTGTTAGCTTTTCACAGGATTAAGTATCTTCATCAGTATTTGCACAGACACTAATTACTACCAGAATGCTAGGTTATTTTAACAGGGACAAGCAGCTCACTCACACCAAACAGGACTCCAAAATTTTTCAGGGCAACTTCTTGTGATTAATAGCAAACAGCATTCAATACCATAATCAGCAGCTCCTAAATTCTATCATAAATATGACAAGCACCTGATCAACACTGTCTAAAGCAAATGTAAAATTCTTTGGGGGAGCATCAATGTCACTCTTAATTTGGAGATGTTGTTTTGGCAGGTCCTTCATAAATTTAAATACTTCCATAAAAAGCATGAAAAAATAAGATTCATTCCTGTTTTGCTTGTTTGCGTTTTGTTCCCAGCTCCTTGTGGTCAAAATGAAACCAGAGAAGATGGCAAAATAATCCAGCTTCCCCCTTGCAAGACAGGAGCATGGATCGTTCCTGCCATCATGGCCTGTTACCTCTTGGTTGCAAACATCCTTTTGGTGAACCTCCTCATTGCTGTTTTTAAGTGAGTGGCACATGGCTAAGTACGGATTTAGGGGGGCTACTCATAGTCTAAGACGGCAGCTAAACCAAAGACTTTGTCTGGGAATGATTTTCAGAGGAAGGGAGGAGACAAGGTGAGCGGTAGTAGCTTGCCTCCTACTAGAGGTAATGGGGGAAATACCCAGCTCTTTACACTGTTTGGTGTCCAGGGGATGAATATGCAATGTTAAGTGCAAGTAACCAAGTACTCAAAGTTTGGTTATAGCATCATTCGCTCCTGATAAGGAAAACCAGAATAAAAACAATTCCTTGTTGTCACTGGATGTTGCTCAAAGGAGTACAGAGTGGCAGTAATTAGTAGTAATATACTCTGGAAATGGACAGAGCCTCTGAGCTTCAGTGAAGGAATAGTAACTTATTTTGTCCATTTCATGAATTCTTTTTTCTTTCTTTGGGATATGGAAACATACTAATGTGTTAACGTTAAGGTTGGAAGTATTGTCTTACCATTTCTGGAAAAGTATCCCCAAAAAAATTCAATATCATTTGTCTTTCCTTTTCTCTCTTTCTAGCAATACATTTTTTGAAGTCAAATCCATATCTAACCAAGTATGGAAGTTTCAAAGGTATCAACTAATCATGACATTTCACGAAAGACCGGTTCTCCCACCGCCTCTGATCATTTTCAGTCATATGACTATGATATTCCAACACCTCTGCTGCAGATGGCGGAAACATGAAAGCGACCCAGATGAGAGAGACTACGGATTAAGTAAGCCTTGAACAATTTACAGAGGGGTACTTCCTAGTGCCCTTGGTCATATCTAGCGTTTGATGTGAATGAAGACTGAGCCCAGCACTTAAATTAGCTTTTCAGGAGAGAGCTACTTTTAACTACAAAATTCTTACGTGAGCCAGTTAGTTTCACCTGTGTTCCCCAACTCTTAGTTCTCTTGAGATTATTAACAAGCCTGTTACTCTTGGATTTTCTTGTTTGTTTGTTTCTCTGGGAGCAAAAGATTTTGTTTTGTTGTTTTTAATGGTCTATTCTTACTGGAATCCTTCATACAGTCCATCATACTCCCAGGTATTCAGTCTAACTGCTAAAATTGCAGAGATAGCATTCCTATTTTTAAAGCAAACAGCACATACCTCAATGTGCTTTTTGTGTGAATGTGCAGATAAACAGAGAGATGGTGTAGAGCAGTTATTCTGTAGACATGTTTTCTTGTTGACACTGATTCAAACCAGAGGAGTGATGTCACAAACACTTCAGTGAATTCCCATAAGCATGACAGAAAACTTGTCAGATTGTTTTGACAATGCTTTCTGTCCTCTTCCCCACCTTGGTTTTTCCCCTTTCTCTTCACAGCCTAACCAGTTCCCCCTCCTCTCCAAGTTTCATTTTTGGAGATACCCTAACTTTGTGCAGATATGGAGGTAGATGGTTTTTAACACCATCTCATCACCATTATGCATTTCCAGCATAATGCCACAAAACCAGAAGGCATCTTCAATTCCCTCATCATATATGCCAGAGATATGGAGCTTGGGAAGATGCACCTCTGCCCACGCCTCAGCCCACTTCTCCATGTGGAAAGAGCCAGAGACAGGCTGTGCCACTGACAATGCCAGTGAGAGCAAAACTGTTACCTCATCTCTTACCACGTCTGCCCCAGCCCCTGCTGCTTCCAGTAGACCTCAGCACCTGCAATATCAAGTCAACCCTCCACACTCTCAGACTCCTTTCCTGACAGTCTCCAAATATGATTATATATGTATTAGTTTACAGGTGGGTTTTGGCCCCCATCGTCTCTCCAGGTCCTGACCGGCAGCTGTGTTTACTTCTCATGCAATCAGCAAGCATTCATGTGTGCACAGTGTTTGCCTGCTAAAGTGTCACTGTCTGCAGAAGCATATGTAATTGAAGCCACTAATTCAGTAATTAGATGAATATGATTTCATATCAAAATGCTGGATAAACTCAAAGCCTGCTTTTGAAAGTTTGGTCCATGAATTCTACTGTTAGAAGAGTGGAGCTAATTTTACATGTTAAAACAGTTAGCCAGGTTCACATTCTTTCCATTGTTTCCACAGAACTTTTCATAACTGAGGATGAACTGAAAAAAGTCCATGATTTTGAAGAGCAGTGCATAGAAGAATATTTTAGAGAAAAGGACGACAGATTCAATTCCTCAAACGATGAAAGAATTCGTGTCACTTCAGAAAGGTGCACATATTTTATTTGTTTTATTTTATATGCAAATATGGAATTGTGTTTCCCTTTCCATTCTTCCTGTTTCTTTTTCTTTCTTTCTCTTGAGGAAAGAAATACTTGAGGTGATCTTTAATTAGTCTTAACTAAAAAGCAGGATGATATAAGGTTGTATATTACTTTTCTCTTTTGTTTTCTTCCCTAAAACAAATGTTTTGCTATTTTTTTACTAGTTGAACCATTTCAACTAGCTATAATAAAATCAACAAAATAGTGAGGAAAAACACAATATCTTCTTGTATTTCAGTTTTTGAAAGTAGAACTTTAGGACACAAAGAGTCAGAACAGAAGAGGAGAGCAAATGGGAGTTCCTTAATGAAAACTACAGCTTTAACATAGATCTGTTAGCTAATTAGATAAAGCAAGAACATTGTTTCACACTGGTCTTGTTGAGTATGACAGCTACACAAACAACAAGGTAAATATTATGCAAATTTACTGCAGGTTGACAGTCTTCGAATTCACCAGTCCTAAAATTCATCAATCTGTTTATCTGCTCTGGTTCTTATAAGCTGTCATTATACAGCAGCTGAACGTCAGAGTTAAATTTCCTGGGCAGATTCTCATTTGATTCATAAACAAAAATATTCTAGGGCCACACCCCAGTAAGATATTTGTAATTACTCGAATAAATCATAATTATTCCAATAAAGCATTACACTGAATACTCCACTTACTTTCACCTGAATGCATCTAGAAGAGGTCAGGAGAGTAACCATAGTAATTGACTACATAGATGTATCATTCTTCTGCTTACACTTATTCCTCCAGCACTAATGCAGCTCTGCCTAAAACTTGTTTCCTGTGAGCAAGGAAACATGCTTTTAATTTAGTTCTGAGCAGATTAGCAAAAATAATATCCTTTAATCATTTGCATTCCTGAAAATAGCACTCTCAAGAAACACATATTTTAGAAAAGTATATTAGAGAAGCATGGCATGGTATGGCCTCCTCATAAGAAATGCAAGAAAAAAAAATGTAACTCAGTCTGGAAGAAACAAATGAGGAGTGAAATAAGAGTGGCCTATATAATTATGAGTGCATGGAGAGGGTGAGTAGAAATCAATTGTTCGCTGTTGCTCCCAGAACAAGAAATGGAGGGAAAGCACCGAATCCAGTAGGAGCCCTGGTTCAAAATAAACAAAAGAGGAGATTTGTTCATGCAAATAGCAGAGCAGAGCAAATCCTTAAAAGCTGATAAGGTCTAAAGAAAAGCTAATGATGGCAGCTAAAGTCTGTGCAGGTTTAGAGGAAGACTAGGAAAGTTGATGGACACAGAAATCATATTCCAGCCCATGAAGCTGCTGATCTGAAAATGTTTGGAGACTGGAGAATACCAGGGGACAGAATTATATATGCTTCTTCTGAAGCATATATAGTGGGCTACATGCATCTGTGATCCGACTGAGTACAGTTTTAATTGTGTTCTGATAATCCAACAATCAAATAACTAAACTAAAAATGCTAGCTGCAGATTCAAATCTCCGCTCATGCACACCTTCTTTTTGGTGGCCAAGGAAAGAAAGTATTCTAAATAGTGAAAGATTTAAGTATAAAATTCTGTCAGTGCAGTCTGCTCTATTTTTCAAGGAAGGAGCCTTTGAATATTCAAATATTTAAAATCCACATTTGGCCTTTATATTTTCTCTATATAGATGTCTTTGTATTCCTAACAGCACGTAAAGCAAAGAAAATGGAGATGATATGCAAGACTACCCAACTTGTAGTGATAGACTAAGCACAATACCTACATTAAAACCATGTAGCCTAATCATCTGCTTAATTAACTTATTTTTATACAGTGTAAAATTGATCCAGAATGCCCCAGCAAATGGCATTTCCCATACACACACTGAAGCTGTCCCACATATGGAAAGCTGAGGAAACTGTGAGGATGGAGGATAAAAGAGAAATGCGGGGACAAGGCTCGTGTGATGTCCCTGTACCTAGACCACTTGCAGCCTTTCCTCTCCTCCATGCATCTGCTTAATTCACAAGAATATTTTCACCTCTTAGATACCCCTGGCATACTTATACACTCCTGCTTACAGCTGGATTTGTCAGCCTGCAGGAGGCCACGAATCAGGGAGGAACTCAGGAAAACAAAAGAAGACCAGAGTGCCTTGTCACACTCACTTAGAGCAAGTCACAGTTTATACTCTTACCTTGGGAGACAGCTAACTTGACAGCATGTGTGTACTGGGGGCTTTGTATTGGTTCAGAAAACACTTTGCCTTTCTTTTGTGACAAAAAGATCCTTTACCTTCCTAATCGCAAAGACAAATCTTGGTGAATCTGCTGGAAACCAAAGACAGTGAAGTTGGACATCTTGATTTTGCTGCTGTAGATGAATCACAACAAACTCCTCCTGGAGAGTTTTCTTCTCTAAATACTGTGAATTTTTCAGGGGTACATTTTGATCAACCTAGATAATATGACCAAGAATCACTGCAAGATTTCTTTTTATAATCTTCCAGAAAACCATTAAAACAATCTCCTCTGCAAATATTTCTTCCCTATGGCAAAGTCGGGCTCTTTCATAGCCAGTCCAAAGCGTGCAAGGTCAAATCCTCTACTGCTAAATATAAATATTTTTGAATAAATACTGCTAAGTACAGCATGACCTCCATTACCAAAATACCTGAATGTTTTACAGTCTTTGGTGCATTAAACTAACAGCATCCACAAGACAGTCATGACTATTATCCTAATTTTACAGATGGGAGACTGAAGCTCACAGAAAAAGGTGTAGGTTGGTCTAAAGACTGCCAGATGAGTCCTCAGGCTTGGAGTGGAATTAGGAAAGGTCTGTGAATCCTGCAGCGTCCCTGCGTCAGCTCTGAGTTCAGCAGCTTGGCAGTGTAGGTGGGAACAGAGCCAGGGCAACCTGAGGGCTTTAACCTGCAGAAACTACAGCACCTGGGAAAACGGGCTGTCTGGTTGGTTAGCCAGCAATGCCTCATCAAAAAATGTCAGGGAAGGTACAAATAGCCTGTACAAGGCCAGGGAACTGCTCTCTACATTTGCTTTGAACAAAATCTTTTTACAGTCACCTATGGTGAGCAATGTGAACACCCCCATAAGTGATTTCAGCTGTCTACAATCTTTGTAGCAGTTGAACAGGCTTTTGAAGACCAAAATGATGACTTAAATATATGGCCATAAAGTCCACAAAGGGACTGCAGCACCTAACTCCACCATTCAGTTAAGAAGTCTGCTTCTGAAAAGAGTCCCTTAATTCCATGAAATCATTATTTCAATTATATTATAGATAAATACATGTACAAATGATAGAAATAATTAGAATTAAGTGCCTGCAAAATCTGATCACAAATAAAACAAAATCTTTGTCAGGTTACCAGTTCTGAGCTAATAATTTTTATTCCTAGACAATAAATACCATATTCAGATAGTACACTTTTGTGTTTTGCTGGTAGACATTTTTGATCATCAGCAAAACACACTTGATGCACATTATCCATCATGTCCATCTGTTAGGATGGCTTCATGCCCTGTCATATGTTGGATAAGAGTCTTGCTGTAAGAAAAGGCACAGGTGCAGTGCAGACATCATACATGGACATCATTAGATTTGCCAAAGGGTTCATATTGCTGCTAATACACGTGGGAAAAAAAAAATCTAAAGTAAAACCTGGGCATTTTTATTTTGAACTAGAGCTTCAACACTTTTCCTGAAGGAAATAGAGCTCTAGCTCTCTATTCACTGATGATATTCAAGTATTATCCAACATTATCAGACAATAAGTATATTCCATTTATTGAAGCATTCTAAGGATCAGATTATAACTGCTTTCTTCAGACCACATCCTCCTAATCTGCTACATTTGATTGATGTTATTATCATGATGTTATTATTATCATGTTTCTCTCAGTGTTACTCCCAGAGCATGATGCTGCTTTGTGAGATGAATGATTCCAGATTTGAGATCAATGATATAAAAGAATATCATTAATTGGAAGAATAAGTATTTGTTGAAAAGATCCAAAAGTTGAAATATGTATATATATATTTTAAAAGGGAATTGAATTCAACTAATTGCTTTGCATTTGATCACCATCACTTAAGCTTTCTTTTCATAAATAAAAACAATACAGTCAGGGATCACTCGGTGTAAACATATGTATGTATTTCACAGTCATCTATATGAATCTGCAGTTGCCCTTTAATTCTGAAGCCAGACTGTTCTATTCCAGTTTTGCTGAGTCGTTTGTTTAGGATTTTTGTTACATTATTATTATTATTAGTCAGCAGAAACCTGAGCTTTCGCAAGTAAAATCCTGACTCTGTTAAAATCAATGAAAAACAAAAGGACCAGGTGGTTCTTTAGGTTGTTGGGTATCTCTGGCAGCTCCCAAATTATGAAGTTATATCTGTCATCATCACTGAAGAGTAGTTACAGGTACAGAGGCTGGATGCTACACAGTCACAAAGGCTGTCAGAGGCTCATGTCACAAAGGCTCATTTTTTAGGGTCTAGGGAATGGAGAAAATGTAAATCTAGAAACCTGAGTATGTGTTTGAAATAACTACTTAGACTCTTGCTTTTAGTACCTCTTTGTCAGACACTGGAGATCCTTGGTCTGCTCTACAGAATTCTACTGAGGAATGTAATTACGGAAGAACAGTTTACAAGTGCTAAAATCAACTTCCATATGTGAGAGCACTCCATCTGAGTCCTTCAATGAAAAAATTTTAGAAGTCAAAAAATTAAAATATTTGAAAGCCATTGGTATAAATTAGTACATGATTCACTTATATCCAACTTTACTGTTGGAAACATTTTAAAATATGAGATAAATCAATGTAATATACAATTATTTTGAAGTTTAAGTGAGTAAGTAGTCAAGTGATCACACAGTCAATTATCAGCTATATTTTTATTTAAATAATATGTTAATTAGATAAAAAGGTTTTAAATCCATTAATTCAATCTCTGAATTACTAATATGAACTATATAAAGCATAAACACAGTACAAGAACAATCGTAATATTTGTACACTCTTGCATACTGTATTTGATTTGATTAGTGTTCTCTTCTCTATAATTTTCACACATACTTCACCTGATATTACTTACATTCAGTATAATAACAAATAAATATATATATATATATATATAACCTAGAAATAAATCTAGGAATGAGATTGCCTGCTTAGGTGTTCACACTCTGCTACAAATTTGCAGACAAGAGTATGTCATGTTGCCCATTTCTGTGGCATTTTACCCACTTTCAAGCCTTCAATTAATTCTAGGATTAACCATAGTAATTTCGTCTGTGGAACGACTGAGGGCAATGTGCAGTCACGTGTGCTCTAAGCTTTATTCTTTTGTAATACCCTAAGCAGAAGTTTTGGCAGCAGATAGGCAGCAAATCATTATAACATTTCCCTGATGCTGGATCTTTTGCAGAGCACACTCAAAATCCCCTCTTATGTTACAATCAACAAGCAACAGACACTGCTCATTTGTGGTGCTCTAGTATGATTTGACTGCTG